ACTGTAAACGTTATTTCCGATTATGAACTGTTCACGTTGCCCTGATCGTACTTGTGTTGAACATCGAGTGGCCAAATATTTCATTGTGAATCACCTCCCGCATTTGATTTCCTGTGGTATGCAATCTAGTCTGAAGTCACAGAAGAACAGTCACTTGTAACTTGCAGATAAAGAAGGGTTAATGTCTCGTTGCTGGTCCTGATCACTGGGATACATGTATATGACTGTAACAGGAGCTTGTGATATTGCTAGGTTGTTGTATTGTGTTTATAAGTACATGTGTTGCATGTTTATTTATAAACAAAATACTAGGACTTAGAAAAATTACGAGCATGTGCGGTGCCCCAGAACCAAATTACTACGTGACTGATTAACCGGAAATAAAGCATGACATATAATATGTGACCTGCATGCAAATGTTCTTGAAAAATCAGCCAATAGCGATTTAAATAAGCCGAGTATATGCAAAATATACGTAGATCTACGCCGATGTTAATGAAGTGCACTGTGGTTTATTTCCGTGAACGTATACGTGGATCTGCATCAGTATTAATTCTGTGCAGTGGTTTATCACGTGTCTGTATATACTACGTTTACGTAGGAATACATTAGGCAGCATTGTTCTGCATTACGTGTACGTTAATGTGCGCACTGTATACTTCCGGTCTCCGTAAATATACTGCTGTGTATATTTACGTATCAGTATGTTCCGAATGTGTGAATATAAGTTGCGTATTCCCCGGACAGACGTTGAATGTATGTGTGCCGACTAACACATATCTTCGAATATTGGGAATATACGCGTGCGAATACGCTAATGTACCAGCCGTATATCAACGATTTTGCCCAGTGCCCGTTGGCATTCAGTGCCCAAGGTTTCAGAGGAAACCCGGTGCAACTAGCTTGAGCCTCACCCTCACCTAAATCAGCAGGAAAGTCGCGGCTGGAAACAGGGGGTTCCCCGGAAGAGACATGTTTTGAATGAGAGCAATGCTTTTTGTGTTTCTTCCTTCTTGCCGACCGTGGGGCAGCAGTGGGGAAAGCTCGCTTCGACTGCATCTGATCTACTCGGCCTGCCAGGACACAATTTTCCCCGACAGTCCTTCGCCAAAGTCCTCATGTCAGAGGTTAACCTAGCGATGTGCGAGGGCGGCGGCGAGTGTCTGGTGCTGTCATTATATCAATCCATTTCTAAATACATAGGTGAAGCATAAAAATAAACATGACATGCATGAGGGAAGCGAAATACAATTGAAAAAGGTTAAATTGTGTCACCGGGTATTTTCTTTGTTGTGAAAAATTATACACACAGAGAGAGAAATCGACACAGGGGTAAAAATTAATAAGAAAAACTTATCCTACTAGCTACAGTGTCGGCTACCACTGGCCACGGTAGCAACCCAAGCCAGAAAACCGGACAGGAAAAGGTAGGCTTTCCAGGCAGAGTCGCTAGACTTCATCCTCGTCGGTGCGGAGATAAAGAAGAGTGAAGGTCAAGGTGAGGTGGTTACATTACCTCGGTCATGTGGTTGAATCTTAGGGTCTTGGAGCTTCCCCTGACCTAGATTTTATCTCCCCGTCATAATTTGGCAGAATCGCTGATTAATGCCTACAGTTCAAAATAGTCATTTTGACTGACTGGAGTCTATGGTGGATAATTGAACTAGTGAATTACTCCATTTACCTAGACTTGCACTAATAGCTGAAGATGAAGACAGTTTTCTACCACATATATATATATAGAATAGTCAAAATAGTTCAAAACAGTTAAAGGGTACCTGATTTTTGTGTGGGTTATCCATCAATACACATTCGATCATATCATAAGCTACTATCGCATTACCACCCAATGCTAAGACATGTGACCTGACCATGGCTTGAACTTCTGAAACGAAACTGTGCATGAAACCACTAACACCACCAACCTGAAAAGGAGAAAATGTTGCTGCTATTACAAAAAAACAAAGCAGCGAGTTAAAGCTGTCTGACCCATGTTAGATTTGACAGATGATTGAAGGGTTCAAGACTATGAAGTCTTTGATTCCATTTTGTTATTGTTGACATTTTTTTTCTTCTTCTGCTGTTTATTTCGTCAAGCCAATTGAAAACACATGCACAACAGTTCGATCTGAAAATTCAATCATGATAGGCCTTAACTAATGCACCTGACTTTCAGAATTTTGATTACTTTGATTTTCACTATCTATGTAATCACAAATAAAAAGTATATCACATCATGTGACCTTTTGCACTTATAATTAATATTCAAAAAAATGCTTCTTTAGATTCAGTACACTGAAATTTGGTATGTAGTATTTATTCACTGAGTAGATTAAAGTTTCATGCTGGATTTGAGAAAATCTTACTTCTGGGGATCAAAGCAAGGGCTTTTTAGTTTTTATAGCATCACAGATATATTTTCTACCAATATCACAAATAAAAAGTTATAGAAAATGACACAACTTTATGCACTATTATAATTAATTTCATCCAAAAAATGCATTAAATAGTTTTAATCCTATTAGTCTGCAATCTGGCATGCATCACACATATAAATTATACATTACAGTTTTAAAATTTGGTGGCGATTCATCACATGGCTTGGCGAAAATACCAGACTCGTATATAGGGAATTGGGGCTCAGCAATGTGAAACTTTTCTTGATTAGTAATGGACGGAAATAACATGAATGAATAACATCAAGTGCAAAATCACAATTTGTCCAATGTGGGATTCAAACTAATTCCAAGATCAATTCTACATAATACATTTCATGCGACTTCGTTATTGTGCATATGAATGAAGTGATTTACATAAACTATTAGCTGGTCATGTAACCTCATTGAAGGGCGGTAGTCGTCACACTGTGCATGTGCATCATTGTGTTGAAAAACACTGATTTTCCCACAATCCAATGCACTCTTCTAATCAAAATCACAAGTATGAGGTTTGACCAGGGCCTGAGTTGCACTAATTACTACGCTTACATGGCACGACAACTACCACCTTTTATTTATACTAGAATCCAATGAAATTTGATATGTAGTATGCATATACACATACATCAACTTTTGAAAATTTGGTTCTTGGTGGTTAGCTATTATATTACATAGATGATTTTTTGAAACGAATACCTTACCTCTCTGACTGATGTACTTTCTCTAATATAATAAAGGTTAATATTGCCAAGATATTTATCAAATGTAGCACCTGGTACAAAGCACAGCGGAGTAATCTCAACTGCAGGGCGGTATACACGCTCTTTCTGTAACTAAATATGGAGCGATTACACTTTTTGGTATCCTCATAACAACTTCATATTAGTATGCAAAAAAAGCTCTCGTCTATCCATTGTGGTTAGGCCATTCTTCAACAGTTACTGTAACCAGTAAGCATGTAACTATGGCAATGTATACATTTTCACCAATATATAGCAAATTTGATCAAAATCCGTTCTGAAATGTTTATGATTATGCTTACACAGTCTAAAAATTACACAATATGTTAATTAACTATTTAATATGCATAGTTATGGCTCTAACACTAATCATGTCTGCATAATACTCCAAGACATTATCCCTATGTACCAAGTTTGATCAAAATTAATCAATATTTGTGAGTTAGCTTACACAAATTGAAAGGAGATAATCAATATGCAAATTAGCTACTTAATATGCATGGGGCATGGCCCCAAAACAAATCATGTCTCTGACCATTTCCTCTGCTTAAAATGTCACAACATATTCTATAACTTTGTCATACAGTGAATGAGTCATGTTGCATAGTGATATAATAGACTTATTACATCCTTATTTCTCTCTGCCAAGGAGGTTATGATTTCAATAGCATTGCTTGGTTAGTCTGTTAGCAGAATAACCTAACAGTCAAAATAGCTTCAAAAACAAGTTTATAATATTCTCTGTATGATGAAATATTAAATATTTGCCATGGTTAATAGTATTCTTGTCATATAACTACCATGAAAAACTGTTTGGTTAGTTGTCATAACAACCATTATTATCCTATTACAGAGGTCCCCCCAAGGTACATTTACTTACAAAATAAGTATCAAAGTAATTGAGTTGGTAGTTTTCAAATCAAAAATAGCATTAGTTAGCAAAAATGACAGAAATAATCACTAACATAGAGAATTATCGGTATCTCCACAAAATAAACAAATCTGACAATTTCCAAATGGTTACCATGGAAACAACAATTTTGGGAATTGTTTTTTATTTATAACTCAAAAAATCAGATTTTCAGGAGCAGTTGTCCTTGATACAAGGATCAATCTGTTAAATATTGATGGTGATATGGATATGATTGCCATGGGAACAATTGAGAAACATGGCTCCGAGTCAATTAAATTTCATTGCAACCCCAAAACAACTACACAGATGGTTTGATTTTGTGTCAAAATTAAACTGAATCAGTGACAATGTGTATTAGAAAAAGATAGGATGCTTGTGACCATTAATTGGTAATTATGAAAATAATCTCAAACCAAACAGAGATGCAAAAAGGTACATTCTAAAAATGGACACATGAAAACATCTACCATTCAAATATCTAGCACATATTTAAGAAATACCATGGTATATATTTTAGAAAAACAAACTTACTTTATATTGAATCCTTTTTTCTAATCTTGGAAGTTTACGAACTGAAAAATAATTTTAAAATGTCATATTTTAGGATCAGCAACAGCAATTCACAAAATATTTCTGTCAAATTTGTGTACAAATGTACAAGCAGATATACATGTAGGCCTGTTTAAAGTGTAAATAATAGCTTAGATAATAAGGAGAAAAGGCACATGAGAATAACAGTTGATGAAAAGACATATTAAATTTGTGAATCATTGAAAATTGTTACCTTTAGATTTGCCGGTTACTTGCATGGGGTTGCTAGCACAGTGCTCAGATATCTCCTCCATTGCAAACTGCAACTCTGATTCATCAGCCACTGAAAACAAAATTCCCTGCCTGTTACAATATACTGTACATCAAATACACGACACATGGAAATCTGTAATTCCAAAAGGAAAGCTAAAAAAAAACTTCAACAAATATAATTGAACTAATTATTTTTTCAATCAGCACACACACCAATAACACTCAGTGTCACCAAGTAATTCACAGCTATATTTATATTTATCTTTTTATGCTTATTTTCCTGCAATCCTGGTTTAGACACAAAGTTTAGCATTGTGGTTATAATGTGAAACATTAATTGTAAAACATTGACCGAGTCCAAAAGATTTAAATGAGCTCTACCATTTGCAGATATATCTACTGAGACAACAGACTGAGAATTCTCATTTCAATAGGTTACATGATGATTGAAGTATCTACTGAGACAACAAACTGAGAATTCTCATTTCAACAGGTTATCTGATGGTTGAAGTATCTACTGAGACAACAGACTGAGAATTCTTGTTTCAATAGGTTACCTTATGGTTGAAGTATTTACTGAGACAACAGACTAAGAATTCTCATTTCAATAGGTTACCTGATGGTTGAAGTATCTACTGAGACAACAAACTGAGAA